TGTTAACAAAGACAATTATTTTTCACCTCCTGTGAAGTTAATTTGCACCTACATGGTACAAATTTATTCCCAGTATAACTCATCAGAATTGCTTCACAGTTAGATTTGGTTATTGTGCCCATAGTGGGTTCACTGCTGAAGCCCTTGCACATCACAGTTTCCTACTGTGCTCTTTAGGACTGATTTCATGGCAAATGGCATTGAATAGGACTGAATAAGATCACTTGATTAATTCTGGTTCTGTAGGGTTTAGCATGTATTTGAGCAGGACCACAGATCTGACTATGTGCACTTTGTATCCTTGTAGTACACTTTGGAAGCAAATTTGTTTCCTTTTTTATTTTTATTTTTTTGTAGCACCTACTATTCTTCCATCAGTGAATCTCAGCCTCCATGAAGAGGCTAGATTATATTTGCCTTGGGTATTGAAATAATTCAATTAAATTAGATGTTTATGCGCCTCAACTTTTCCAACTTTCATGGATTTAGTGGAAATCAGGTGATGTAGAACACCTAGAAAATCAATTAGGCTCTAATAAGTTGCAAAATTCCAAAGAATTTGAGAATTTGAAGCTGATGGGACTTTGGTAAGCTTTAGAGTAGACTTAATCAGAAGACATCATTTGATCATGGAAGCTTCAAGTCAATTCCAAGCTAAGTATTGCTCTCAAAAATGCACTGACTGATATCAATAGCTAAGAAAACATTCAATGACAGAATGGTGAAATATATTTGAAATTAATTGTCCAGCTGTGTTCATTAGAAAGAACCAAGTTCTCCTGACTAATAGGTCGCATACTGCCATCAGATGTGGCACTGATTGCATGCGTACCTACTGATGACAATAGCAAGAACCTCTCCTGTGCAGTGAGCACTTCAACAGAGCATCTTTAGAATAGGGGCCCTCCAGAACCCTTCAGAAGTTGATTATTTGAAAATCTGTCAGTATTCAATGCATTTGAATCCTGCTAACTCACCAGGAGCTGCTACACCCATGGTATGGGGAGAACCCTCTCTTGACAGGCATCCCACTGGTGGGTGTACACAGTGGGTGCCGTGGAATCTTAATCCTGCTCTCATCCACAGTCCATGGGGAAATACTGTCATCTTTCTGCCTCTTGGGTTGCAGAAACAGCTGGGAAGCAGAGAGGCCCTTGACACATGGTGGAGTAACCTCTCCTTCTTAGGCAGGTTTTTAACTTGTGCTGCACTTATAAGGCTCTTTATAGAACAGCCCTGTGCTCAAAGCCTGCACGTCACAATGTGCTGTGTCCACTCCTGTGATCCCAACCAGAGGCAGGGAGAAGCATCTGGCTATGATGCCTGCCCTCTGCACTGGGGCAAGTGAGGGCTGTCTGCTTGCTGCCACTATGGGGTGGCGTATAGGGACTGCAGCAGAGCTCAGAAGAAAAGGAATGAGATTGGAAATCTCCAGCTCCCTCTGGAGATCTCTCAGCCACTCCAGTTCTTCTACTTCTGACTTCAGAGAAGTAATACCAAATCACATTCATGTGCTGTCTCTTCCTAAATCTATGGAGATCCCAAAGATACCTCAAAGGCAGCAAAACACTTTAAAATTCCCATACCGTTTTCCATTCTACATAGACCTATCCATACCTGAGCATGTCCAGAGAAGGCAACAAAACTAAAGGGTCTGGAGAACAAGGCAGCAGCTGAGGGAGCTGGGCTTGTTCAGCCTGAAGAAGGCTCAGGGGAGACATGACCACTCTCTACATCTGCCTGAATGAATGTTGTAGTGAGGTGAGGTGATTACCTCAAGAGCAGCTTTATGCCCTATTTCTGACCATCATGTACCAACCTTGCTTCAATTTATCTCACTTGGTCACAATGATGTTACTGCCTACTAAGGCACAAACACTCTTATATTCTTGGCATGCTCCAGGATCGCTGAATGTTTGACTTTTAAAACATAGCAGTCATGATCTTCCAAACTTATTTGGTTCAGCTTTAGAATCACAAAAGCTGAAGGTTTTGTTCTGCGGAAATTACATAGGCCCATTGAAAAGTGCAGTGGAAATAAATGATTAATTACAACAGGTGAAAATGCTTTTGCAGTTGAGTAATATTTAGTCAGGAGGTATTTTTATTCTACAAGACTTTCCTCCTTTATTTTTTCTTATCCCCAGAAAAGCAAAAGTCCCACACCAGCAGGTTCCATTGCTGCTGCCTCAAGGAGCAGGCCCAGCACTGGAAGTGATGGTATGATTTGTCATGTTATATCTCTGCAAATACATCTTCAGCAACTTGCAAAGATGTGTCCTTCTACTGAACTTTGGTAAAAAGATGCCAATAAATGATAACATTCAGTGATTTATATGGGAACTGATATGAAAGTCACATTACAGCAGTATACATTGAAAAGTGAGATTCACTAGCTGTAGCTAAGAATAAAATACTAAATCTGGGCTAATCACTGAGGGTTTTTTCCAATGCCAATAAAGAAATAAGCACTTCCAGAGATTATTTAACCCGTATCTCTCAAACAGCTGTTTGCAGATAGGTTGGTGCTACCCAGCCCAGATAAGCGCATGGAGGCATTCACCTCAGTCAGATTGCAGAGGAACTTGGACAAATGGATTAGATGGAAAGACTGTTATATCAAGAAAGGCATTTCCTAAAAACAAATGAGTTAAATGTTTCATTGCCATTTGATCTGATGTGAAATTTTAATCTCCCTTACCGCCTCCATTTTTGATCCTCACAAAAAAAAGGAATAACACTATCAAAATGAATAAATATGCTGCAAGCATTGGTTCTTTCTGCTTGAAAGGTGGTTGACTTTTTGATGAAGAAAATACTGTATATTACGATGGCAAATACAATTAACACTACAATATGTAGCATTAATAGTATAGCAGCATCGGTACTCATCAAATAGCTTCTGTTCAGTGAGATGCACAACAAAATGGACCAAAGCACCTCACGGATTCATCTCAGCCCAAACTGTGTGTGTGTGTTGGGTGCTCAGTGCCTTGAAGAATGCTCAGCAGCCAGGGTGAGTTACATGCACAACTGCTGTGGGGCCCATGGCTGCAAGCAGTGAGCTGCCTTGGAGCAGCCATGTTGCAACAGCACAGAATTATGCAGAGGGAAAAAAACAGAGTCTTAGACACCTTTGTATTATTTACTGGTGCTATGACATCGTGAGCATGTGAGATGTTTGCAAGAACAGAATTTCTCAAGTCAACCCATGACTTAGATGGTGCAGCAGGAAGAACCTGGAAGTGAGGTGGCCCTCATTTTCATTAATGACTCATCAGCCATGTGAGAAAACTGGGCTTCTACGGGATGACTCAAAACTCCTGTCGCAGGAGCAGGTGTTGCAAGACCATGATCATCTAGATACTGATTAATTAGTGTGACAAACCTCAGTGCCACAGGGTGCACACGGTTAGGGTGTGTAGAAGTGCATCCATACAAGAGTGCGCTATCATCCCACAAAGCTCTGTATTTTCACATGGCCTTATCTATATGCTCGGCCTCATTGAGCTTGGGTTGCTCAGAAAGGAAAGATGTTTGCAGGAGTGCTCACAGAATGGAGATGCAAATGTACAGACAGAAAGACAAAAGTAAAGAGGCAATGAAATTCAGAAAGATTTCTTTCTTTCTTTGCTTGCTTCAGAAATTCTGCCAGGGCTATGGGGCTGTGTTCTGCTTAATTGATACTTCATGTGTCCTATGGAAGAAGAATTTTCTTTTTATTTATGAAATCCCATTGATGTTTATTTTCTCTCTTGGGATATGAGAAAATTCCTGTAATGCTCAGTTTGGATGGATAACAGGAAAATCAGCAGAAATCCTCTGAAGTGTCCTGAAAAAGACAAACACGGGTGTGCACAGCTCTCCCATTGCCTGACACATTCTCTGGGTGAACACCAGCATGGTAAAAACCGTCAGTACACACAAACCCACTCGATGCCTATGTCGGGTCTCTGCCAGGTTTCGCTACAAGCACTTTTTTTGCCTATTTCTCTGCGCGAATGGGAAGATGGGCCGGAGAGACCCGAGCAGGAGCTCCCCGACGGAGAGGTCAGCCCGCACCAAGGCACCCGGCTCCATCTAGCGGCACGGCTCGGGATGGCCGGGCGGCAGCACAGCCCGGGAGCGGCGCCGGTCCGTCCCGAGGCGCCGTGCCATGCCGTGCCGGGACGTGCCATGCCGTGCCGGGACATGTCAAGATCTGCCGAGCCAGCGCGTGCCGGGCCGTGCCGTCGCTCCGGTGCCGGGCAGTGGCCGCTCTCACGCCGTGCTCACGTCGCTGCCGGAACAGAGCCGGATGGCGGCCGCGGAGCCTCGGAGCCGCCGAGCTGAAGCGTGAAGCGTGGCGGAGCCTGCCCTGCATACGGCCCTTTTCTCCGGCCGGGTTACACGAGCATCCCCGCTAGCTTAGTTCTGAAATGGGAACACAGGACGGACAAGCGCTAGCGCGGAGGAGTGATGTGTCCCCCGAGCGGCTGAGCTGCTCCCTCACCTCTGCGTGACCGCTGGTGCTTTTTGGGTCACGCACCCCTGGGCTCATTCCCCGTGCTCAGAGCTCTCATCGGGGCTGCGGGACCCGACCCTACCCGCCCCATCCCGTCACGTCCCGTTCCGTCTCGTGCAGCTCGGTTCGCGGGGGCCCAGCGCGGATGAGCCTCGAGGGGAAAGCTCGGAGATGCGGTAGGGAGGGAGCGACTCCTCCAGGATGTCCCCTGCGACATGATGTCATCTGATCAATATTTTCGGGGGGAGTGACCGACCCGACCAATTCCCGCTATGAAACGGGCTCTATATTGGAGCTGGATGCGGCCGAATCGATCGGGCTGATAACGGAGGCCTATAAAAAGCCGGGGGGCCGGCTCGGCCCGTGCTACATCCTTTCCGCGACACCGCCGGCCGCACAGAGCGCCCAACCCCGTACCGCACCGCCCCGCACCGCCCGCGGCAACGCCGCCACCCGACCCGAGCCCGAGCCGAGTCCGAGTCTGAGGTCGCCGCGGATGGGGCCGCGCCCCGCCGCCCCCGGCGCTGCCCTGGCGCTGCTGGGGATCGCCGCCGCCGCTGCCGCCAGGTCCCTGGCGCTGCCCGACGCGGGCCCGCACGTCAACTACGGCTGGGGGGAACCCATCCGGCTGCGGCACCTCTACACCGCCAGCAAGCACGGGCTCTTCAGCTGCTTCTTGCGCATCGGCGGCGACGGCCGGGTGGACGCTGTCAGTAGCCAGAGCCCGCAGAGTAAGAGCCGGGATCTGAGGGAACGGACGGGACGGGCGAGGGAATGGAACGGGCGGGCGGGCGGGCGGGCGGCGGCGCGGAGCTGACGGCTGGTTCCCTCTCCCCGCAGGTCTGTTGGAGATCCGCGCCGTGGCGGTGCGCACCGTGGCCATCAAGGGCGTGCAGAGCTCCCGCTACCTCTGCATGGATGAGGCGGGGCGGCTGCACGGGCAGGTGAGCCCCCGGTCGAGAATTGCAGCGGGGGGGGGAGGAGGAGAGGGGGTTGGAGTTAACGGGGCTTTGGGGCGTCCCCTCTACCCGGGAGGCTGCGGGGATTGTGAGAGGGCAGCAGCAAGGGGACATTGTCCTGAATGCGCAGTGCCTATTTCATGTGGAAAATGCAGTATCGTCCAGAAGTGAGTTTGTTTAGGAAGTCTTCTCGTTTGGTGGCTGCCCCAGAAACCGATGAAGTTAGGGCATTAGAGCTGAATGATTTCTCGCTGTTCAGCTCAGATACTCTAGGGAAAAAAATAAAGAGAAAATAAGAATCGCTTTCTTTGGAAAGGAGATGTGCCACTCAAACAAGCCCGAGAGACACAGGGATGCCATCTCTTAGGTAGTACCAAACAGAAAGGGCTTCAGGATGGTTCCGCCCTGCTCCAGTCCCACTCCAACCTGAGAATCAGCACACCTGTAGCCAGCTGTGGAGCTCAGTGACCCACTGGCACCACGCAGCTGGCTCGCGCTTTTCACCCAGCGATGTCAGCATATCCTGTAGGCATTATCAGCTATGTAAACTTGGCTTTGTAAACCCAGACATAAACTGCCAGCTCCAGAATTTGAAGGTTCAGAGTAAGGCTTTGTCTAAGCGCTCTGCAGGAGCCTGGGTTGCGTGGGGTGATGGCTTTTTATTGTGCTGTAGTAAAGGCACGGCTGCATTCTGCTTTGATAGCTGCGGCAAACTTTGTGCTGCTTGCAGTAGGGCAAGGACTTGGCCCACTGTCAAAACTCCCGGTATGTTCAGTCAGACTAAGATGGGAGTAGGGAGGTTATTGACTGAGCATACAGCATAGGATTGAGTCTTTGTTTCTCAATTTCCTTGCTTTTCTGGGCCAGAATCAGACAATTCATGCAATGATAATGTGCATAGGCTGTAACGGTGTGGTGGGTCAATTATTAGCTTTAAGTTTTAATGTATATCCAAAGCAAAATGATCAATGAAAACAAAACAAGTCCAGATCCTGCTCCTATTGGAGCTGCTGTAGTTAAGGCATTTTAAAGCAGCTTTCTTATAACATAATTCTGTAAGCTAATGAGTATCCCTTGAGTGGGTTTGTTGGTGTATAATATTCTTCACAGGTTGTTAGCTTTTCTTCTGAAAACACAATAGCATGTAGCCATGCCATTATACCTTTATGTCATGGACCAGTTCTATTTGCCTGATTCTAGAAAATAGTTTTGTCTACTTTGGTAACAGTATTCACAGAAGTGAAGGGAGTAGAAGCTGACATATGGAGATAAGTCTTCTCTTTTGGGACACAGCCCCCTTTCCTGTAGCTACCCTTCTCTAGGGGTGTACTTGGAAGGAAGAAAGAAATGGCTTTTGGCATATACCATCTGTACTCCTGCAATGCCCAATAAACATGGGCTGAGCCTGTGTGAGGCTGAGGGCAAGAAGCCAGCTCATCCTTGACACTCACTGTCATCTCTCCACTATCGGCCCAGGCAGAACATGCGCCATAGCCCAGAGATCAGCAGTGGAAGAAGGAAAGGGCAGGTGCAATGTCTGGGGCCCAAATTCAGCCCTCCTGTAATGTGTTCCTTCTTAACATGGGACACAGGAATGGCTAAGGTTGATTCTGAGCAGGCAGTGTGCTGCACAGACTGCCCTGAGAATTTCTGTAGTTTAGCAGAAATCTTTAACTGCTTCATATACTGACGTACTGTAAATTTCTCCTGTGGAAAAAAATTGATCTGGAAATACTTAAAGTGCATTTGAAATGTATTAAAAACTACTCTAGAGACAATCCCACCGAAGTGAGCAGGGAGCAATCTGGTGGAGGCATAGGGGTGCCATCAACAACCAATGTGGTTTGTAGAGTGCACTTGCTCAAGAAGCTTGCTGATATCATCATCCTCCAAAGAGAGGCTGACTGCTCATAGCAATAAGGACAGCTGACAATTCAGCCATAATTGTGCATCACAGACTGGTATCTTTCTGAGATACATATTGTGTGTGGAAGGAAAAATACTACATAATTTATTTTGGAAAAAAAATGTCCTTTTTTTTATTACCTGATCAGTTTAACGAGAGCTTTTAAACGATACTCAGATGCTTGTACTTAATTGTACTCCGTATTCTTGATGGCATGTGAAAAAAGAATGAAAAGTGGCAAATACAGTCTATATTAATTCACTTATCACTAAAGACTGAGGCATCATCACCAATTGCCTTTTGCTGACCAGGAGTTCAATCACCTGCAGTGACTGAGCCTGAAGCAACACCAGCACTGTGTCAAATGCAGTGCATGTGGGAAGGTCTGAATGGTGATCCTAGATCCTAACAGAAGAATGTCTCTGCAGTATGTCACAAATGTACTTTTACAAATTCATACCTAAGCAAATATGTTCTTCTTCACAAGATCTTAACTGAATGGAGTGAATCTGGTGGGTGTGTCTGTAACTGGTTTTACTCCTTTCTGTTCAGCTCAGCTATTCCATTGAGGACTGTTCCTTTGAAGAGGAGATTCGTCCAGACGGCTATAACGTGTATAAATCGAAGAAATACGGAATATCAGTGTCTTTGAGCAGTGCCAAACAAAGACAACAATTCAAAGGAAAAGATTTTCTCCCACTGTCTCACTTCTTACCCATGATCAACACTGTGCCAGTGGAGGTGACAGACTTTGGTGAATATGGTGATTACAGCCAGGCTTTTGAGCCAGAGGTCTACTCATCACCTCTTGAAACGGACAGCATGGATCCCTTTGGGATCACTTCCAAACTGTCTCCAGTGAAGAGCCCCAGCTTTCAGAAATGATTCTGACTGCACACTCGGTTTTAAAGAAATACCACAGAATGTTGCAGGTTTTTAGCTTCTTGTGTAGTGATGTCTCAAACCTTTTTTTCGTGTCTCAGTATGCAGACAGCCTTTCCCGTACAATGTGTTGTACCTATAAGAGCTAAGTGCCCAGATGCCATGTTCAAAAGCATTGCCTCTCCATAGTATTCTTGGAAAAGAAAAATTAAATAAGAACAGCTTAACAAATTCATCAGAGTTCTTCCATTACTGTGGTGATGATAAAATACATAGTTTTCATACATCAAATTCATTACCACATATGTTCACCTGTTGTTTCAGCTCATATATATATACAGGAAATCTTGCCATTCACAGGGAAGTTCACAGCCTTGTAGACAAACATTTGGAACAAAACACAGTTAAGGAAGACTGAGCAAGTGTGGTTATGTGAACTAAAGTTAGTTCTGTTTCTTGAAAAGCTGCTGACAACCTTCTGGGAAAGCTTTCTGTTGAAAGCATACCACTGAAAAACAATTCTGCTCATATATTGTGCTTTTTCTTCCCTTAGGAAAGAAGGGAAGAAAGGAAAATATTTCTTCCTTCCCCTATTGCTAAAGGATACGTTGGAAAACTGGATTTTTGGTGTATTTTATAGGTTAATTTATGTTCACTGGGGGATCTGCATCATCCAGCATAAAGACTTGTCTTTAATGTTAATGGGAATTCAGCACGTGGGTACGAGTGTATACAGAACTAGCATCTGTGTTCATCTGGTAGGAATGAGCAGTTCAAAGTAGTGTCCAGGTATAGGTTCTGCTGTGTATACTCATGTATGTTGTTAGCAAATAGAAAGTCTGAAAATGGATGATGTGTAGGTCACATCAGTTACAAAGAACATTTCTGTGTTTTGCCTGTAACCATCAGCAATTCCTTTAAGTCCATCCAGGCTTGATTCTGCATCAGTTGAAACCGTGTAGGTACAATTTAGTGACTTAAACACTGCAGAACTGAGCTGGCCATGCTGTGCTTCTTGCAGGAAGGGATCGTGTGAATCTCAGGGCCAGAAAGCATATGTCTGATGTCTTCAGTTCTGTTCTCCCCGTGTGACAATTTAACAAAGGAATAACCAAAGAGAAACCAAAAGAAGACACATGTCAGGGTTCAGAGATTCCACTCATTTCCAAAGGCTCGCTTATAATAGAGATTTCTATACAAAAAGATCTACTGGAAACACTGGTGTTCTTCTGACCTAGCACTTCATTGCCAATGCAATATTTATAATTAATTTATTAAATACATACCTCTGTTTATTTTGTTACTGTTATTTATGCTCAAAATTCTATTTATATACTCTTGAAGGTGGGTTTTTTGGTTGTAACAAATTTTGTGAAGTTTTGTAATCATTAAATTCTAGGAAACAATAGCTTTTTAAATTTCTGTTCATTATTGGTAGTGTAATACGTATATTTGCAATAAAAAATCATCTTCGGTACAGAAATCTAGCTGACTCTTTTCTGACTTCTTCAGCCCAAACACATCAAGGAGCTTTATCGAACTGTGCAGTCTGGTTCCACTGCAGCCATGTGGAGATGACGCTGTCGAGGTGCAACACAGAGACAGAGTGAGTTTCCCAAAGCCAGGCAGTGAGTGCCAATGGTGGACCTTTTGTCCACCTGCTGCCTGTTCCTGAGGAGCCCCACGTGAAACTGCAAGGCTGAGAGAGGTAGCTTTGTTATGGAAAGGTTCAGCACCACGTGTGAGCCACCTGCAAAATGCAAAACCACGTTAAGTAGAAGGTTGCTCCCTTTTTAAAAATGGCACCCAACTAAAAAATGCTCCTAGGGGGAAAAATGGCTGTTAGGCTTGAAAAAGATGTTAATTTCTGGCAGAAAAGGAAAGACTGAGCATTTCATTCTAGGAATACTATAGGGTGACTCACAAGAATTGCAGAGTTCTTGGCTGCAAAACACCTCCCATGGTGTTTCACGTTCTCCTTCATGTTGAGTCACTGCCACAAATGCAGAGGCTTCCTACTCTTCATGCACTGGGAGATGCATGATGATTTTCAAGTTGTGTTATTTGAAAAGTTTTTGGGTTTGGGGTGTCCTGTTTTTCAGCTTTTCATTTCTGCTTTTGATCAGACTATATATCTTTTGAACATTAGATGCATCTTTTGAGACTCCTCTATATAAATCAAAACCCAGAACACAAAATGAACTTCTAAAATTTGTTCAAAACCTCACTTTTCCACCAAAAAAAAAACCAACAACTAACCTCACAGTTTTCAATGGAAACACAGCAAATGATAACATTCAGAGTGCATACTCTTCACATTAAGCGGTGAGAGATTTTAAAGTAGATTTAACATTGCTGTCACAAATACTGGTCAAGAAAACAAAGTTGAGCATTCTACCATTGGGGAATAGCATCCTATTTGCTGACACCTTTGGGTTTGCATCTTCCATGAGCAGCACGGTGATTCTTACTGTAACAGCACGGTCAATATTTATTCAGACAGAGAGAAGACCGGGGGCTAAATTACCCACACCACTTCCTGGAGCACTTCAGTTTTCCTTGGAGGTTTCCCATCTGAGCTCTGACCAGGCCTAGCCATTTTGCTTATGAAATGTGACAGGATCCCAGCTTGAGGCAGAATGATTACTGTAAAAATGCTTTCCCTGCCAACAAACACCTGACTTGCGCAGGAAAACCTTGGAACACCACTGTCCTCAGCTTAGTGGGAATGCAAACACCAGCACCGCTGTGAAAAGGTCCTGGCTGACCACTGCAACCCAAGGACAGCAGGGCAATTGCCGCCCTTCCATTTGCAGCGGCACATTTTACAGCCCTAAAAGGTTTTAAAAGGTAAGGTGTCAAATGCCTCCTTGTGAAGTCCGTGTTAGAAGCTATGATGTGTAAATGCGAGTAGTGAGAAAGCTACAAAAAGGAGATACTGGGCATCTCCATTTCCACTCTGGGGAGGTGTGAAGGGCTGTAAAACCTTTATTCAGGCTCTGAGGATCAGTGCTATCTCTATTCCAAGTACTGAAACTGTTTGTGGAGAACCTGGGACAGTTGTGCTTTGTACAGGAGCAGAGACGTGGCAAGCTAAATAAATGCACTTCCCTTCCTCACAAACGAGAGGGTGCCAGCTGACACGATGAAGTAAAGCTGTGTTTCCCTGGGATGCGAACGGCTGTGGGGAGCAGGCGTCATTTGGATGCTGAAGTAGAGGTGAATTTGTGACAGGATTGTTGAGGACCCATGAGGGCAGTTTGGCAGCTTTCCTGCTAGAATACTACTGCATATGCAGCATAATGAATCGAGCCCCCTGCCTACTGCGATCAAAGCACTTGTTTGTCATTAACTTCCAAAACAAGACGAAAGTGGCAGCTCGTAGCTTCAGAAACACCTTTATTTCCACTTGCACCAGATGGTTACTGAACACAACGCGTTTATGACAGTGGAGCAGGACAGCAGATGCGAGCCCACGCGCCGACACGTGAACGCAGACCCTGCACAACGCAGCCCCTCCCGAAACTCCAGCCCCGCTCTGCACCCGGCGCACAGCTCCGGAGAGCCGCGGCACCGACGGCGCTTTGGCGCCCCCTATTGCCTGCAAGGCCGGCGGGGCGCTGCGCCCGTTAGGCGGCTGCTGTGAGGAGCGCAGCGCCGCCCGCCACGCGCGAGCGCTCAGGTGCTGCGAGGCGGGAGGCTACGCGCCTGCGCACTGGGGCACCGCGAGGCGGCCCCTCCGGCTCGCCGTCGTCTCCCGGCGTGCTGAGCGCTGCGCCGGCCCCTTGTGTGGCGGCGCGATGGCGGCCCCGTCCCAGGGTTCGGACATGTTTGATGAGATCGTGATGGCCGATGACAGGTCGGGAGCCTTCGGGGGGCAATGGCTAGCAGCCCTCCCGGCGGCAGGGAGGGAGGGAGCGCCGAACCCGGCCGCGATGGCGGCGCGAAACGGAAAGGAAGGCGTATAGCCGTGCGTCTGTCCTTGCAGGTTTCACGGGGAGGGCTACCAGGAGGGGTACGCCGAGGGCAGCCAGGCGGGGGCTGCTGAGGGGCGGAGGTGCGGCGGCCTGCATGGCGCCAAAATCGGCGCTGAGGTAAGGAGACGTGCTCAGGAATTGCAGTTCGTTGTGGGTTTTTGTTTTTGTTTTTGTTTTTTTCCTTTACGGAATGGTTCTAGCACAGGAATACATCGAGCAAAATCCAGTGTATAGGTAGCGTGAGCCCTGCAGGCTTCATTTTAGGAGCGTTCCAGGCAGTCTGAAGCTGCTGCTGACGGCACAGTAACACACAGCGGAGTTACTCTGTAGAATACAGAGATTAAAACTGAACGTGCTGTCATAAGCTTCGCCAGCATTACACAGTTTTAGTTGTGTTTTCTGAGGTGGTTGCTGTAACTCTATAATGTGATGGAAAACACAGCAGTGATAGCAGGAAAGCAAAGTCCCAGGCTGCAACAAGTAAGGACGTGCTCAAATGCAGCTGCTATGGGCACAAAAACAAAGGAAATCTGCTTACCTCAAGTAGACAGGGATCTCCAGCAAGATACCCTCACCTCCACCACCAACCCTTAAATGAGGTCTGGGAAGGGGTGGATCCTGACTCCAACCCTTCTTGTCATTTCAGCTGCACTACATACACCTGTGCTCCCCTAGATTGGCCCTGCCTTCCCACCAGGTGCTCAATCACTGCTTCAAGCCATGACTTAGCATTTCTACTGCAGTTGCAAATAGAGTTCTGTATTTTATTTCCCTGAAGGAGAGGACAAGAGACAAACAAGTTTGCTTGGAACATGTTGGTGATGGAGTACACGTTTACTTTTATAACCTAAGGTTGTATCGAAAGGCTCTCTGGACCATCTTCTGTGGCTCAACGTAGGGGAGAAACAGGGAATGTTGGTTCTTACCCAAATTATGTCCCAACCAGACAGTACTGGTTGTCTCTGTCACCTTCTTTCCTATTTGTAATACAGGCAGAATTTGTGGCTCAAAGATTGCTACTAAAAGAACAACAGCAATGGTATTAATCCAGTATGAAACAAAAGCAGTTAATGCAAACTCTCAAAGGATAGTTATTGTAAAACTTTAATTTGTCACTTGACTGTGATACGAAGATGACCAGTGCTTATTTTCCTACCAACGTTACAGCTGTTCAGTTCCAAGATGACAGTTAAACAACTTCTAAAACTGACTACTTTTATACAGCATAGTCCTATATAGACTGCAAGAGAAGTGCTCTAATCTACTGATACTGGGAGGTTCCAGAAGATTATCTGTTTACAGTCTCACTGTCATATTAAGTAAGTGAAAGAATGACATAGGTTATCTTTGAACTGTCAGCCTATTGTCTGTCTTAAGGAGAATAATACTGATCTGACAATGGCTTGCTTGCTTAAGAATTAAAACAAGATTACAGTTAAAATATGCCTGTTTTCCAGCATGTCCCTGAGGTAATACTATATACAGTGTGTGCTTGGGCTCAAGTGGAAGATTGGTACTACACCCATGTGGTAGTGCATCACTCATTATGCAGAGCAGACTGCTGCAAAGCATCCATAGGCCAGCATCCCCAGACCACTGCAACTTGGTGCTACATGAAGTGAACCTGTTGGTGTCTCCACTTACCTGAGGTCTCCAAACAGCTTTGGTGCATGCAGATGAAATTGCCTCGCTTTTTTTTAAGTTTGAGCATTTCTGGAGATGTCAGCTCCCAACCACATGTATTTTAACAAACATAACTCCCGGAGGACTAGAGCTCGCAGATGTTCCCTCTGTACTCTGATGAAGTTTGCAGGCTAAAGGAACTTCCAAGTCCAATTGTGTCTTGTAAATTTAAGTGGCAGGTGCATGCACAGATTGAAGTGGAATTTGGCAATAACTTATCAGTTTCATAAATTTTGTGGTTCAAAGCACACGTACCATTATCTAAGCCTTTCAATGTGGAAATATATTTGTATATCCAATGGCTTGTTTCCTTAGGAATAAGAATATAAAGCTTTACTTGTCTTCGACCACATAGATATTAAATATGTGTTGTTTTCTTTTTCCCTCCATGACATTCTTAAAAATTCACAGATTGGCAGCTACCTTGGATTTGCACTGACCTGGCAGTGTCTGCTCCCAAAATGTACAGATGAAAAGAACAGGTAGGGTTTTAAAAGTATAAGTCGTATCCCTTTAATAGTTTTTTCAAGTTATGGTGTCCAGTTTTGCCTACTCTTCAGTTTAAAAAAGAGGAATCTGAAAAACAGAAGGGTGAGCAGATAGATGGTGTCTGGGATGGCATTGCAGTCTGGACCATCTGATGCTAAAAAGAGGATAAGAGAACTTGGTTTCGTCAGCCTGAAAAAGAGAGGATGGAGATGCCTACTTGCATTGCACAAAGGGAAATTCTAGAGATGCATTCCTTGCAGCAGCACACAGTGGAAGAATAACAGACACTTTTCACAAGTTGAAACAATTGATGTACTAATTGGGCATAAAGAGAAGGTTTTTTCCACCATGACCTCTTAAGTATTGGGACAGGTTGTCCCAGCTGAGGACAAAAGCCCTGTCCTTGTGGTTTTCCACAATTTGGTTGGAGGTGGTCCTGAAGAACCTCAATGGGCTTTAAGGTTAGCCGTGCTTTAGGCAGAAGGCAGACTGAGTAACTTCCAGCCATCCCTTAAAACCTGCTTCCCCTCCCCCTCCCAACTTCCATTCTATTCTCAGTATGGAGAATAATGCGTGCATACAAAATCCTAGCAACTCTTACTGCTCTTGCACCACAGACTCAGGTTTGCAAACCAGTGTCAGAACTTCTTTAATTACTTAAAAGCTGTGAGTGTTACAGGGGTGAGATTTTAAAAGCTACACAATATTTTCACTTAAAAATAGTTTATTTGTTATGATAGTACTTAGACTGCACAGAATCAAGCATATAGATTTCCCGCACTGCGTTTTTGTTGTTATTTAGGTACCTGAAAGTACTGTTATAATCCATCTTTTCTCATCACTACCCATCACCTGTGTGCTTTATGTTTGGTTAAACAGCTTTCTCAGAGTCTTCTCAGAGTAGACTGTGTTCCTTGGGATAAAAAAAAAAAAAAGCCAGAATATGTTGGACTATCTGAAGTCCTGTAGGAGCTGATAGAACTGGTGGCATTATTGTTTCAGTAACATTTTCTTCTGTGAAGTGCAGTATCCATGTGCTTCATGGCAGTTAGAAACTCCTAAATAGATTCACTTGAATAAAAACTTGGGCCCAAGTTCATTGTCTGAAAATTAAACGATAGTTTCCAAAGGATGCTTTAACAGTAAAGTGATAGATGAAGTTCATTAGTACATTAAAACCTGAACAGCTTACATTTTAGTTTTCAGCAGACTATTATTACATAAATGGTTTAATTCTCACACAGTATTTTATTTCCGTTAATTTGTTTAAATTTTAACTGGACACATTTGTTTTCCTGACCTGTTAACAAACTTCATTATTTCTGACATGCTTGAATAATAATTAGAATGCATTGAAGGAAGGCACTGAATAAAGTTTCATACATGAGTGGTATTCAGACTTCACGAGGACTTGAGTTGAACACTCACTGTGGAAGCAATATATCCCCAGTTAGCACTGTTTGTTCTTACAGATACACTCATCCCATCATCCAAGACGGACCTTCATGTTAAACCACTGAGGCTCTCTTCTGAGGGAGCTGTAATTCACCATCAGTAATTAATCATAGCTTGTTTCCCTAAGCCAGTTAGACATGCAAGGGAATTAGTGTGTCACAGATAGTTCACTTTTTTGGTGATGCTAGCAATCCTCTCTTTCCATGTCTGATATTTTATGGTCTCTGCATAATTCATTTTCTGTCTGCAACAGAAATACATCTGCTATACTTCTAGGTGCCCTCTTTTTCTTACTTTTCTCTCGTTTTCTATACATACGCAGATACATGCACTTCCAAATATCAATTATTACTTTCCGTTGGTAGAACTTAATGCTTTTTTCTGATGAGTTTTGATTAATTTGAACAAAATGTCAGCTTGTTTTCAGCTATCTCAATAGAACATATCTCAGTACATGTTCTGGTGAGCTTTCTTACTGCATTTATCACATCTAATTGGTAGTTCTGCGTTTCCTGACTAGACGTCTGCGTTTGGGAAGTAAGTTAAAAGGAAAGCCTTACATTTGTCAGTTGTACCAAGCTTGGTTTCTGATGATGCCTTAAATATGTATGAGGCAATTTGAATGAGATAAGGACAGAGGGCTGGATTCTATGCTCTGAGTCATAAAATACAATTTTCATACTGACAGATGGAAAAGACTTCTTTGGGAGGCTCACTGTTATTTACTACTTTTTGTGTGTGTGTTTTTTTTTTTTTTCAGTAAAAAGATAAGGGCTCTGGATTCATTAATAGGAATGATTCAGAAGTTCCCATATGAAGACCCCACTTATGAAAAGCTTCAAGATGATCTGGAAAAAATCAGAGGAAAATTTAAACAGGTTTGTAGGATTAAGTTGTTATTTTTAGCACAAAATAGTATTGCTTTCTGTAAATATTTCATCTCCTTTTGCAGTCATAGTAAAAATGCTTTGAGTTGAAAATTTCCTGATTGATAGCAAATGCAAAATAAAAGAATAAAATTAAATAAATGGAAAACTGAAAATACTGTTTGACAGTGAATTACAAGCAGGACCAGAAGAATAAATAGAAAAGGAGGAATTAGTAGTTTAGTTGAATTTCCTTTTGGAAAATGGATGCATCAAAACACTCTCATTATTCTTTTTTAGGTTTGTTCAATGCTAAATATTCGATCTGATTTTAGAGTCAGTAATGAAAGATCTTCACTTACATTTTGAATATAAAAGTTGAAGATAAACGTGGATGAAAAAAGGCGTATGAAAGAACAGATAACTGGAAAAGTGTTCATTTGTTTTAAACAGAATCCAAGTAGCAAAGAGATGCTAAATATTAAAGTGGTAAAGAAAAAGCACAAAACATTTGATGGTTTCTTATATTTGTCGAGGTTTTGTTTTTTTTAAATCTCATGGCATTATTTAGGATTATAGAAACACTGAAAGCCTGTTGAATAGAAGTATTTGATTCACTCTTCACCAGCCTTTCCTTAAAAGGAAAACACATGCATATGCAAAGCTTTCTTATTTAAAGAATGTATATTATTTTTAAAAAATCTACATATGTAGATCATCCATTTTACACAATGTGTAGGTTTTTTTAGGTGAAGATTGAATCAGTTGTCTACAGAGCTTGCAGTAGTGAACACCTCTGTGGGGGAAGGTAGAATACACATGAAGTAAGAACACAAATGAAGGAAGGTTAAGATCCCAGTTCATAAAGTAGCTGCAATTCAGAGTGTGAATCTTGTGGTTTTTTTTCCTATGCTAGTTTTACAGACTTATCCAAACATCACAAAACAAGAACAAATAGACCCAAACCCTAGCAATTTAAGTTATCAGTAACAGAAACATGGCTACTAGAAGAAGTTGCTACTTGTTCTGCCCACAAAGAAGCAAAATTGCTTCTGACAGATGGCAATACTAGGCAAAGAACCCACAGGTACACTGATAGTCACCTGCAGAAAAAAAGAGTTGAACTCACCCTGCTGGTGAAGGGAAACTCTGGCTACACAGCACCCACTCTCAGGAAGCAGCCAAGGCCCAGAAGATGCTCTCCCTTCAGTGTCTGGCTCTTATATGAGCCCAGGGTGGCTCCACACCTTCTGGTCACATGGAGAGCACAGGTGCAGCTTAAACCTTTTAAAATGTTTACTGTGCATTTGCATCTGGAATGCAAGGGCATATGTTTTGCTTTTTTATTGTAATTTTGGACTAAAAAGATACAGATATTTTGTTGAATGTATACCTGTGTGCATATGTATTGACTCCATTTCAAAGTCATCTTTTATTTTTGTCTGATTCCCGAGTACATGAACGTGTCAATATCAGCTGCCTTTGTTAATAGTTACTTATGGGTGTACATACATAAATATGTAAGTGTTCAAACAGCTTTGATGTACATACTGTCAGAGCCATCTAGTGGAGGAGGTTTTTATACTGTTTAAAAATAGCCTGTAAGTAATGCTTCTTGTAATAGTTCACAAGTATTCATTAAGATGAAGTTGTTCAAGTAGTGCAGAACACATGCATGCATGATGCAGCTCTTCTAACGATGTGGTGCCCTCTTTTGAAATAAAGTAGTATTGGGGTAGGATTTATTTGTGGCTTGTTTCTTTATTTCAGACTTTGGAGGTGACATGACAGCATTGCTGGCATCTTCATTTAGGGCAGCTGAAGTATGGCTTTTAATTATTGTGCAACTTAAACCACTGGGCAGTGTGAACAAGCTCCAGTGTGTGAGCACCTGAGACATGAGCAAAAAAAGAGCATACCATACAGCCGCAATAAATCAGTAGACACGTAACAGAGAGGTCATTTACCAGAGAAATGTAATTTCATTTTATATTCTCTTCAGAGAAAGCTAAATTTGAAAAAGCTGTCACTGGATCCACAAATTAACACTTTTTTTCCACAAATCATGCTATTTAACCCATTTTCTTCAAAGCAGTGAGAGTGTGCTAATATTCAGCTCTGATTGACTCAGTGTTTTTTTTTTGGTCGAAAGCTAGATATTACATTTAAAATAAGTGTTCTCCTTCCCCCCAAGCTGATCTAGTGTCAGAAAGGCAGTTTATTGCTCTTCTGAATGATGTACAAAGAGAAGTAAACACTGGATGTCTAAGCATTCAAGTTTGAACAAGTGATCTTTTCTGGAATCTTTGTACATGGCTTGCAAAAATGTGTAGAAAAACTGGGAAAGAGATGAGAGCTCAAAGTATCTGTGGTGCATTTGATGACTAGAAGTGTGTGCTGTGTAAGTGACATGCTAAGTGCTTCTCTAGAGATTGTACTGAATACGAAATTCATTTTGTTTTCTTGAGGAGAAGACGGATCCTTGCAGATCAGTCACTTAACACCTTATTTTTAAATCTCATGGCTAAATTTCTGCTATTGCTTTACTATCCTCTTCTAATAAAATCTATATTTTAATATAAATCGCTAACATAAATATGAAAATAACTATAAAGATTGTAGCATCTCTGATTTCAAACTGGGATATGCCAGCTTTAGGTCCTTAACTTAGCTACAGGTGTGTGCACACCTCTGTTTTTCCGATCATCTTTTATGTGGGCATGATAATTTGTGTTACATGAACTACAGTTAATAGTTCTGTTAGATATGGAATCATACAGTTCTTCAGTGCAAACTTTTAAAAATATCTTCTGTAACAGAGTTGTGGATTAGGGTTTCTTGCGACATTCAGGATTTTAATGCTAGTCTCCACAGCACAGGGGAGGTTTTTTAGTGACAAATAAGGAGTTAAAGACCAGATTACATGATGAATATTGGTTTGTCTTAATCAGTGTGACGCCTTGCAAATAATCTTGCATTTTAATTACTTGGGTACATCAGGATGTGCTACTTACTGACATCAAGAGTGACTAGGAGGACCTGGCTTTTTACATGCTTCTACTTTCGGTTGTGTTGATCAGAGGAGAAACCTAGAAAATGAAGAACGTAAGAGTTAACAAAAACCTGTGAAAGATACGTGCTTAAGTCAACTACAGTGCTATTTTTAAACAAAAAATCATTAATTTTTGGGATAGCCAGGGTACTCAAAAGACTGTCTGGTTTCATGAGACGTAGGGCATATGTTTTTCTCTTCTTTTGGTGCCTGTCTTGCTAACACTTGCTTAAATCTGTAAGAAATTAATGAAAAACTCTTGTGAAAGGTTTCATTAGCATCTTGGTTACTCATCTTGTCAGGACCCTGATGCAAACAGGTTTTAAACTGAAATTAAAGACTGTCAGAAGATCTGTGTGTGGAGAGGCTGAATAAAGCATCCGTGAAGCAGTCACTCCGACATTGTCTGGTCTCAGCAACTGACTGCACAACTTCAGGATTGCTTTAAGGTCTAGAAGGGAAAAATGCGGAAAAATGCAGTCTTGTAGACTGCAATATCAGTTATTAATAAAGTAGGACAGATTGTGGCTCTGCAGTCATAATGGTTTAAGTCTTCCTGGAGATACTTGATCTGATAAAAAAAGTAGCATGGAAGATTTCTGCCAAAAATACTGAAGTTACTAAGACTCACAGCAATGCATTTTAATATGTTTTTATTCACCACCGCTAGTTATGCTCAGTAGTTAGGGAGGAACACTTGAAATATTTAACTCTTAATTTTCTGACTTGTTGGGGCTGCGTTCTGGCTTGTTTTGTTTCTTTGTGGACTTAAAGTGTTGAGCATACATTTTTCATTTTAAGAGTGAATGCAAAGCTAATTACTGCTAGTGTATTAAAGTCATTTCACTTGAAAAGACTTACAGTTTTCATTTCTAAATTACAAGAGTACAAGAAACGGGGAGTTTTGAGGCATCAACAAGGAAAGGTAAGCTCATCTCTGACTACAGTGAATTAATTCCCTGCAGAATTCCATTCTGATTTCAGCGTTATCTTATAGTCATGGGGTCATTGGCTGCTAATCCCAAATCAGTCATTACTAGTACACGTAAACCTGACTTTGTCGGTTATCTGTGACATTGTACTACATCAACACAGTGAAAGTTCTTTACTGAGACTGCATTTCTGTACACAGATTTTCAAAAAGAACTTAGAGGAGGATAAAAAAACAGGATGGTGCTCTACTCACAAAGAAGCAGAATCACTCCAGCAGGTTCTTAGCAATACTTGCAAGTACCCCAAAAGTCACATACAAAAAGCAGAGCTGAACTCACCCAACTGGATCTCTGGCTACACAGCACCCCTTCTCAAGAAGCAGCCAAGGCCCAAGAGATGCTCTCCCTTTAGCAGCTGGCCCTTACTTGAGATCAGAAGGGCTCCACCCTCGGTCCACACCTTCTGGTCATGCTGGGAGCACAGGTGCCAACAATTTGCCTGTGCCCCCTGGGCCAGCCACACCTCTTCACCAGGTGCTCAGTCACCAGCTCAAGCTGTGACTAACAGTTCTCCTACAGATTAAAACCTTCAAGTTAAATTCATTATTAAAATGCTTGCTCCATCTTCATTAAACAAGTACAATTCCATTCGCTGTGAACTGTAATGTGAATGGGATCGAGTTCAGCTCTGAAGAGATACCTGTAATTAACAGAAAATTGTGAAATCAGAGAAAACAAACGTTCCCTCAGAAAGCAGGAGAATCCTATTATGTTTTCCCAAAACAAGGTTACTGTAATTTGTATTTGCATTTGTAAGGAAAGCCTGACATTCCAGTTTGGTTATGTGACTTTTTGATCTGATTGCTATTGAGGTATAAAATAGAAAAGCAGTGGTGTTTTCTATCCTGTACATAGAACCTGTGCAATCTCATGTTGCCAGCTGTCTGTAATGAACCATTTAGAGGAAGAGTGAGTCAAGCACCCGTTTTGGTCTGTCCTTAGGGTTTCTAGAAAGATAGCACACTTCTGTTGATTATTTTAGAGTATGCATCTTGAGATAGAAGTGAGAGCTTTAATTTTTCAGTAGTTCAGTATGAACGTGTATGAACAAATGCTTTGTTTTGGAAGAGGTGGAAGAATTTGAGCCCTTGGGTGTATTCATGAAAGTTTATTTACACTTTGGCTGTAAATAGTTTCTCTCATTGAAACAAACCAAGATCCCTCATTCAGAAGTGTGCCTGCACCTTCTTGCTCCACAGTGCTTTAGCGTTAGAACTTATATTCTTTTAAGACAACTTACCCACATTAAGAGATCACATAATGTGAATTTGGAAAGTTTGAAATCCATAAATCCTGTCCTGTTCACATCTTTTTGTTGTGTGTGCATCTACACACATTTTGAATACATTCTGAATCTAATCTTGTGTTTCTAAAAATCATGCAACTAATAGTCCTGGATCTAATACTGATTATTTATTATTTACTTAGAATCTGCAAAAGCTGTGGCTTTTATTAAATACAGCCTTCTGTTTCAAGATCTGATTTAACACTTTCAGATCGTTTTCAAGTTCTATTCTTCAATAAGAGCAGGTACCTTCCTCCTTGGTGACCTAAAAACCACATCTGTGTTTTTTTATCATGTCCTGTAATTACAGTGTTGAATGTTTGAGAGGAATTGTCTATACTAATAAGTGGCATTTTCTGGAGGTAAAGTGGGCACTCAAAGTGAAGGTAGAGCTCCTTGTCAGGATCATTAATTCCTTAAACAGTTTCTGCAGTGCTAGCAATGTGAAGAACTAATTATTACCAAGTGCTGGTGTTTGTGTGTCTGATGATCTTAAGGATATAGTTTAAAAGCTTCTGAAACACTACAATTAGCTGAAGTCCATCTGGATTGGAATCATTATTTCCAAAGGCACACCAGAGGAGGTTGTAACAAAGCAGGATCAGGCATGTACATGTGTGTGATGAGTCCCATCAAGATCTTCTTAAAGAGAAAGGCTTTGGTTTCAAATGAAAATTGTAATTCTTCATATTCTTGGGCACAATGCAGTGTGGATATTAATGCCTTTGAAATATTATTACCCATTGCAGTTTCTCATAGCAGCTTCTTCTGGACTAATTATAACCTAAAACTTCAGCTTTCATAGTTGGACAAGTAACTATGAAGATTCTCATTTTGCATTCTGTCCCAAGTTTGGTTGGTTTTGTTTTTTAATGGACAGAGTTATGACAGTACACATTGTCAGGGAGATATCACCAGAGAAGATGAGATCTTGGAGAGATGAAATGAGTGCTGTGGTCAAGATGCAACTTTTGGTGTCTAAAATTGACCTGTAAATGCTAACTAGAGTAGTCTGGTGCTGAGGCTCTTCACTGTAGTTAATTCATCTGGAACTAACATGACTATCACTAGCACTGCACTGAATATTCCTGCCTTAATCACAGGACTGTTTATTCCTTAAGTGTAATAATTATATTCTTACAGCATTTCTCACCCTAGGATTCTTTAAGTAAAATATTTAAGTCAACTCTTGAGTAGCATATAGCTCTACCAAATGATGTAATATTCTGCAGAAGGAAACGTGGTCACTATGTTTGTCTGAGACATAACCAGTGTGCAAGACTTTGGAGATCTTTGTTAATGTAAAGTAGTACCCAGTCATTCTCATATAAAATATATGAAAGCTATAGAAAGTGCCAGTTGAATCTGAAGTGGCTTGCTGTACAGTATTGGTTTTCATATATATATATATATACGTAATTAGCCAATTCCACAGTTCTGTCTTCCTTCCTTCCTTCCTTCCTTCCTTCCTTCCTTCCTTCCTTCCTTCCTTCCTTCCTTCCTTCCTTCCTTCCTTCCTTCCTTCCTTCCTTCCTTCCTTCGTCCGTCCGTCCTTGTTTTTGATCATAGCAAAATAGCATACAGATAGTTTCTGAATAGGTACAAGAAATAGCATCTAGCTTTTCTATTCCAACATCAGAAAGTGTCTGTAGAGCAGAATATGTATGGATGGCATCTGGAATAGTAGAATACCGTCTGAAAGAATTAAACTGCTATTTGTTTATAATAAAATTATGGAGTTTACTTTCAGCAAAAGTCCTGTTTTGGCAGGAAGAGGATTGCTTATTCAGTTCCTGCATCTCAGCTCCGCGCTAAGCAGAGTCAGCATCAGGATTTGTCACTGTCTCCTTTCTTGCTGATTGTTTAGCGGCACGATTTGCTGCTTTCTATCCATGTAATGTTTAGCTGCAATTTGTAACTTTCAGCTTCTTCAGGATTCTGTGGAATAATCGACACCGCGTGGAATCTTGATTGTAGGAACTGTGAGTCAGCAACCCTTTAATTTTTTTAGTTGCAGCTATTGTTCCAGCAGCAAGCTTTACTGCTATTGTCCACTGTTTGTCCAGCTCACGTTTACTGGACTGTGGGAACGGATTAGGGTTTCATGGCTTTTTTTTCCTTCTTGCATAAACTCTTGATCAAAGACATTCCTTGGATGACAAAACACTGTATACTGTGTCACACAGTCCTGACCAGACTGCACGAACAGTAGTTTAAAAACACATGCCCACATTGTTCTCTAAACTGGCTTTTTTTTTTTTTTTTTTGTAGTGTAGTGTATGTGCAGACACTGAATTTTTGAGACCCCACTTACCTTCTTAAAAAAAAAAAACAAAACAATCTATTGTTAATAAGCACTTAATAGTCTCTGGAATACACGTAGAAACAAATGAATATTTGAAACTCAGAACCATATTAGTATGTAACTTAGAATACATAATAGTATGTAATTCTTAAAGGAAATGTAGAGATTGTGTTTGCAGTATATTTTCTTGAGAGCACCCTTGGTTGTGCCACAGTTACTGAAGCACCTTGTAACCTTAAAACCATTTAAACTTACAGCATCACTTTGCGTCATATCTGGGATAGCTGAGTGAAATGGAGAATGATTTATTTGAGCACAGTTTGGGAGTTTGTAAACCACCTTAACCATAAGTACATTATAGCTGCATGTCATGATGTTAGAAGTTGTTTTATGCAATAAGGTGGGGACTGACTGCTCGAGCAATCCAGTAGCATCAGTGGTTTCAGAAATAATGAGAGAAATCATGTTAGAGAAAAACCTGGAGAGACATTTACAAGGAGCTGTACTTGGGATTTGCCTGGAATTCTCAGGTGATCAGTTTAAACTGTATTGTCCATAAAGGAGGAACTTGTCTGATTCTTTGCAGTCCAAGGGCTTCCGTGAAAAGAAAAGCCAGGATTAATACGCAGTTAATAGACACATTGTGTAAAAGAAGCAAAGTGAATGACTGAAGCAGCTACAGATGTATAAAGTCAAAAATGAAATAAATGTGTTTATAAGAAATAATGGCTAGTTTTGAGAAAATAGCTGCTGATTTCTTCTGGAAAGCTTGGGGAGTAAATTTGCTGGAGAGCTGTTCTTCGTAATTAACGTCGCCAGCAACCAAATGTAAAGAACGATGGCCCGTGTGTGCTGAAGGAGCAGAAAAGCTGTTCAAAAGTAATACCGTGTATTCAAACAATCTATAGTGATAAAATCTAATAAAAGGAGAAATAAAACATCAAAAGCTCAATTGTCTGTTTCAGACAGTCTGCCATCAGAGCAGTGACTTAGGACACCAGGTCACTCGTTCAGTGCTGGCTCAGGCAAGCTGTCGTAATGCTCTAGTGGTGGCTTAGTGGCCTTTGTTAAACGGTTTGCTCATCTCAGCCCAACTCCTTGGAGTCTGGTGCTAATGTTACAAGTAATATCCTCACAGGCAGTAGGTAACTCATAAGCTGTCACAGGAGACCAGGCATTTAATGGCATATAGCATCTGGATGGATGCAGACAAGTGCCACAGGTACTCAGGTGTGATGGGTGAAATAAAAAAGCCACACCACTACAGCAACGTATCATCCAAAATTTATTTGCTCGGGTTGAGAATGTTGAATAGATAGTGATTTCTGTTCTGTGAGTCGCATGCACTCACGTACAAATTGAAGCCCTAGGCCTTCACTGCTCACCCCAACCAAGTTTGTTACCACATACGACTTAAGCAACATTTGCTTAAGTTCATGCTTTGCTTCTTTGTTTTCCAGCTCGTGCCAGGTCAGTCAGAGAGAGCAGAGCTAATCAAGGTCTGATTTGAGTGGCCAGCCTTTGGCTTTCAGGTAGGCCTCACCATATGACAGACATTTTAGTTGGGAACGTCGTTCCGTAGCTGTGCCCTAATCTATACTTCGAATATGACAGGAGTGTAACTTTCTATTTGTCTTTAAGTGAATGTGCAGGCTTGGTGTTGTTTCGAGATGGGTTGCTACACTGAGATGGATTCTTTACCTGAAATAAAAACTAAGTGTTGCATTTCTTCAAAGATATTATAAATGAAAAGGTAGCATAAGCCATAAGTAAAATGAGAACAGAGGTGAAATCCACACAGATGGATTCTTTTTTTCATACAGTGTAAGTGAGAAGACCTCTAGCAGCACTAAATACAACCTCCACAACCCAGAGAGGGAGATTGGAAAGGTAAAAACTGTTTTTGGAATTAATCTGTGTATTGTAGGTATTGCTCCCCCAAAACAGGAGCTGTTCAGGGTAGGAATTGATCCTCTGCAGAGCGTTGGTTTTTGTTTTCAGGAGTTGGCTGGAAGTGCTGTGTACAGCCTGGACCCCAGAAGCTGTCCCTGTACTGCGGGGTGGTGCTTCCGCAGCAGCAAAGCCCATGCAGAGTTCAGATGCTGCATGCGTGCCTTGTTCGTGGTACACTGAGAGCACGCAGTGCCAGTTTTCTCTTTAAGTAAGAGTATTCGTAAAAGCTGTGGCTGGAAATATTTGGCAGTTTTTTAGTATGGCTGTGCAGGTGCTAACGGGATCACTGAGAAACTGTTTGGCTTTCTCATCAGATTTCTAAAAAAGCAAAAAAGAGAACTTTCACCTTGCTCCTTGAGCCTAAAGAGCAAATTCAGAAGTCTAGCAAGCCTTATGCTAGCAGTGCAATCCAGTTAACAAATATGCAGTAATTGTTTGATCTTAATTTTGTGGGGAACTCAAAAGCTAAATGGGAATCATGTTTGCCATGCCACTGCAACTACCTATGTCAGTTATACTGCTGGGATCATAAAATCACCATGTTTGTCTGAAAAAGATACATTTCCCATTAAGAGATGTTGATGGGATTCCATTGAAATGCCATCATTTGTAGTTTTACTACCTTTGTCCCTTTTACTACCTTTGTAGCTTTTCAGTGACACTACTAGGAATCTTACCAGAGCATCTAGCCCACCTGCTTGGGTCATTCCTGTGGCTCTCCTGAAACAGTAGCTCCAAGCTTCTCTTTCTCCTTTATCTGGAGTTTTCCATCCCTTTAAATGCCAGTATGCTTCCACATAAGTGGATTTCCAGTTTCTGCATTTAATGGACCCTGCTTATTCTTTAATAAAGAATGTGTGATTCATAAAAGATACGAGTTTGCCAGTCTGAATTCAGCAATGGAATTGGTGTTTTTGGAGATCTTTTGGATGTTTTCTGTGTATGCTTCTCCATCTGATGTAATAAAGTATTTTTCCTTTTAATGAGCAAGAGCGCAGCCTAGCTGAATGTGCATATTTTTTACAGCCTATAGTAAATTGTTTTTCTTGCTACATTCTTGTCATCCTGCCCTTTTCAATATGAATAATACATTTGAATTTAGTAGGCTGCATTCAGAAATGATGCTTAAGAGAAAGAAAATGTAAATAGCAGAGCTGACAGTCAGGACTTAAACCTACTAAAGTGACAGAATATCTGATTTTAATAGTGTAAAACATCATAGAAAAGGCAAAAACCACTTAACACGTTCAACAGAAAGCAGGTTGAAATTTCTCATTTTTTTTTTTTTTCCCCCCCAGCAAAAAGCTGTTTGTCCCAAATCAGGATCCTAAGTATGTCCTCCCTCAAAACATATCAGTGAATGCACTAGGACAGACTGATTTTGCACTAGACTGTGTGTAACAGTTGTCAGCAGCTTTCATTGTAGCCTCGTTTGCAGTAGTTACTGCATAGAAAAGGTTGTGACGTGCAGTTTAGTCACTGGGAAGCTCATAAAGCAGATACCAGACTTGTCATCCAGGGAGACTTGACATTTCAGGTGAGTTGATACTTCTAATGCAGTAATTGACATCACGTTCTCCTCTCATTCTCCATAGTCAGTATATAGATAGGAAGTGTGATTGTTTTCCACAAAGAATAATCTGTTGCTGCTGTGCCCAGCTCTTGCAAATGGCAACACGCATCCTGTTTTCAGAGAGGCACCTTGGAGAAGGAATTGGCAAACAGGTTGTATGTTTTTCTCATTTTGTAATCGTACCTCATTACTGTTGTATTTCCTTCTCAAGTCCAGTTCTTTTTTTGTGTATTTTAGCAGGCTTTTAATTTTTTCTGTATTAATTCCTCATTATCTCTGATACCAGTAACCAGCAAAAGCTCTCTAGGAGGCGGGGGGAAGGAAGAGACTGCTGATTTTAACTTGGCTGTTTTTAAAACAAACCCTTTCTGTAAATGCGTTGCCAGGCACAAAACCATACAGTGAGCAACACTGACAAGCGTAACTGAGGGCCAGTCACCTGCCCACTTCTAAGAACACCTGCTTTCCTGAAGCAGTGATAAAAATGTTAGCGTTGCAATTATTAAAGCCCAGTCAGAATGAGAGTGGTGTGGCTTATTTGTTACATGACACAGTTACTACCATTCTGCATGTGTGAAAGTAATAAAACGACACAACAAGCAGGCACTGGGTTTTACCAATTTTATTTCTAGACTTTAGTGTTTTTTTTTTTTGTTTTTTTTTTTTTTTGTTTTTTTGTTTTTTTGCTGGAAACTTGTCTGTTACAGGTCTGTTGGTGAAAATGTGCATTTCAGACCAGTGATGCCAATAAGTACAATATAAAAATGTACAAATCTGAATTGCTTGCTTACTACAGATTGTTATAACAACGTGACAAACAAAGCATCTCTGTTGGCACATGAACCCACGTATCTGGATTTGGCATTTCAGTACATACAATATGGAAAGAAATTTGCAGTACACACTGCCACTCAGTGTAACACGTAACATAACCAACAACCACTAACTCAGTAATCATGTTTGGTTCAGAGACACAGAGATGCCACAAACAGAAGTGTTTTATGAGGTAAGCAGTAAGAAATGTTCCTGAAATTTGGACAGAATGTATCCAGTCCTCCTGGGTCCTGCGACTGCTAGTAGCATTGCAATGCTCTGTTTATGCACTATGTAGGGTCTTAACTGCATTTGCCTCAAAAGAGTTCTAATTCTGTTTTGGTTTAGCAGCATACAGGCAACAGCTAGATTATTCTTCAGCATACAACTCTGTTAGCTGGCTTATTTATGAGATTTACAGGCTTTTTAAATTAGCATTATGCTATAATTAACAAAAAAAAATTAAAAACAAAAACAAAAACTTAAAAAAAAAAACCAACAAACAACCCTAGTATATCATAACAGATTAAACACACAAAATACTTAAGAGTTCCAGAAGATAACCTATCACACCAAGTGATGGATCCCAACTGACGGGAACCACATCAGGTGGCATACAAAAGTTATATTATAATGCACCTTTCATATATCAATGTGGCTAATAACACAGCTTAGAACTACTATGATAATAAACCCCAGATCAGACAAAGAATCCAGCTTTATAAAATGTGTAACAACAAAAAGCGACATTACTGATCTCCTGAAATGTCTGCTGTCTTTAAATCAATGCAACCTAGTTGCAAATCGCGAGACCCATTCAGAACAACGTTCGATGCATTTCCATTTGCAGTAGAACTATGAGGCACTGTGTACGAACATTAAAACCTGGTCTAGACATGGTTAACTGAAGTATGAGGTATTGTGAAACAGGAACCTTTTTGGAATAGAGCAGTAATCACATTAAGTAAAAATTGATCACATAAAAAATCTACAAAAAAAAAAAAAAA